GCTGCAGGGCTCGGGGGAGGAGGTGAGGCGCCGGGGCCGGAGGCAGCCGGCTAGGGGCCGCTGCAGACGAGGCCGGGCCGGCCGGGGGGTGTCGGGCCGGGCACGGTGGTGCCTCGGGCGGGGTGGCCGAGCTGTGCCGCATGCGCAGGGGTCGCTCTGCCCCGCTCCTCCACGATGCCGGGGCCCGGCGGCTGGGCAGCTGCTCCTGTCCCTGCGAGGGAGGGCCTGGCCGTGAGGCTGGAGCCGCTGTCGGACTCGCAGCCGGTCTGCAGTGCCCGAGCCGGCCCCTGCGTGCTGGCCCTGCGCCTGTTTGGGTCCAGTGCTAGCCCTTCCTCATGCACCACAGCCAGCGTAGGGCTGGACCAGCCTCGCGTGGCGCATGTGCGCAGGATGCGCTGTGCCCCAGCGGACTGGCTGTGGCGAGGCCCACTTTGGACCAGGTGCTGCCCATCTGGCCCAGCCCATGCGCACTGACTCCACGTGCTGCAGGCCAGATTGTAGAGCTCCAGAGGCTGGATCTGGCTCTTGGGCTGTATGTTTGACGCCCCTGTCAGTACGTTTGACTAACACATAGTATACCGCGGAGATGAGCTTGATCCAATGATCTGTGTTTGCATTGTAATAACTGTGTTTTGTGTTTTTCTTGCAGCTCATGGTTTTGGAGTTTCAGTGTTGTCAATCAGTAGGCATCCATTATGTCTTGGCTTGTCGATCTTGCTGGCAGGGCAGAGGATCTTCTTAACAGAGTCGATCAAGGGGCTGCAACAGCTCTGAGTAAAAAAGAGACTGCAGGCAGTGCAATTTATAGTACTAAGAACTTGGGATCTGCCAGTGAATATCCTGAATCACAGCAGCAAACCAGAGAATTGAAGCATCAGACTTCATCCAAAGCAGCCTATATTTCTTCAGCCGCTGATAACATTAAACAGCAGAAGGCTACGATCCTAGCAGGAACGGCAAATGTCAAAGCAGCATCCAGGACCTCTTTGGAGGCCTCTCCTCCAACAGAAAGTGTTTCCACACCCAGACCTTCCTCA